GAAGAAAAAGGATTGCTGTGCCTATTCAGCCAAGAATCAGAAGAACTATGCCTTATTGCCGATGATGACGAGGTAGATTCTCAATCATCCTCTTGTTATTCAGCAGAGTCTAGCTCTATAAGGAGTCAAACTTCCAATGAATCAGTTACCGAAATGATGAGGGAGTTCAAAATAATCAAAAACACATACTCTAAGTTAAAAGAGGAGAACTCTCGGCTGATGATTAGCTACAATGCGCTAAGGCAAGTTCGAATTGAGAACATAAAGCTAGCCATTGCTAAGAGGCAACTTGAGGAAAATGTTCTCGCTCTAAAAGAGCAGTGTACAGAAAGAGAAAAGAGGGAGCAACAATTATTTGAAGTCTTAGATAAATTCAACAATTCGTCCAACTTAATGGACCGAATGGTGAACGAATCTAGACTGCCCGGGGAAAGAACGGGTATTGGTTTTGACCCCAGCTCCTCTTCACAAGTCGGCATGAACAAATCCACCAATGCTTACTCTCACGAGAGTTTTTAATCAGCATTTGTTCAAGGCCCCACCCAGGTGTCTGAGCCTGTGACAAAAGTTAAAAATGTCGTAACACCACAATCAACAAGCCAACCGAAAGGAAGGGCTGTACAACGAATTGTGGAACCTGGAAATGAAAGATCCTTTAAAGGCAATCCTAGACAGAATTATGTCAAAAGGAATAGACCAAATGGCAATGGACAAAATCTAAACCATAAAAGAGGTCAGCCTTACAGGAATATTCAATCTAGGAAAAGGCTGAATGTTAACCAGAGGCAAAGTCCGAAATCAACACGAAAGAGTCCTGCTCAAGGAATTCTGAGAAATGGACGATTCAAACAAAACGAAAGATCTTTCAAAAGATCTGGTTATGGCAATGGATGGACTGGGCCATCAGAGGAAGATTGGTTTGATTACCCAGAACCTCTATCTAGAGTTGAATTTGAGAAAGTTTATCTGCGTAAACAAATTAATTATTCCAAGCATTACAAAAATCCTCCTCAAGAATACTTTCGTGAGAGATATAATGCTAGAACCTTTGCCAAAATCCATTATGATTACCACACATCTAATGGATATAGAGGACCAAGGATGAGTCGTGGAAACTCTAGGTTAATGTGGATTCCTAAGTTGACATCTAACCCTCAAGGACCCGAAGCTCAAGGGGTACCTAAAAACATATAATCTTTATTGCAGGATAAACAAGTCATATGGTATGTCGATAGTGGATGCTCAAGACATATGACTGGTGACAAAACAATGTTGAGCAAATTTCAAAGAAGTAGATGGACCTAAAGTCATATTTGGAGGAGAAAATAGCGGCAAGACTCGTGAAAAAGGAGACATCATCAAAAAGGGAATAACCATACAAGATGTATCATACGTCGAAGGACTAAAGTTCAATCTCCTAAGCACAAGTCAATTTTGCGACAAAGGCTACAAGGTCGAATTTTCCAAGGACGAGTGTAAAATCGTGAACACGAGAGACGGCAAGATTGCGTTAACCGGCCAACGAAAGAAAAACATGTACGTAATCTCTTGGAATTCTTCTAACGCTAATGTTTGCTTTGTGGCTAAAAGTAATGCAGATCTTAGCCAAGAATGGCACAACAAGTTTAGTCATCTAAATCTGAAAACAATCAACAAATTAGCCAAGAGAAATCTCGTGAGAGGATTACCCGAAGTATCCTACATAAAAGACAGAATTTACGAGGCATGTCAAAAAGGGAAACAAATCAAGTCATCTTTCAAGTCCAAGGATGTGGATGCAAACTCTCGTTCTCTAAGTCTTCTACACATGGATCTCTTTGGACCAGTTGACCCAGCAAGTCTGAGTGGAAGAAAGTATACTCTCGTCATAGTAGATGATCACACGAGATATACTTGGGTGCTTTTCTTGAAGAAAAAGAACGAAACAGAAGTCGTTCTTCCTAATCTTTTGAGACAACTTCAGACAGAAAAGGAGGTTAAGATCATTCGCATAAGATCAGATCAAGGAACTGAGTTTGTTAACAAGATCACAAAAGAGTTCTGTGCACAAAATGGAATCTTTCATCAACTCTCGGCAGCACGAACTCCTCAACAAAACGGAGTAGCCGAAAGGAGAAACAGAACCCTGAAATAAGCAGCACGAACAATGATCGCTCACTCAGGCTTACCAAAGCGGTTTTGGGCCGAAGCCATAAACACAACATGCTATACACAAAACAGATCCCTGATCAACAAATCCTACAACAAAACTCCATATGAACTATGGAAAGGTAAAGTACTGAGTATTGGTTATTTTCATGTTTTTGGTTGCAGGTGCTTTATTCACAACAATGGAAAGAATCATTTGAGAGCCTTTGACAAAAGAGCAGACGATGGATTGTTCATGGGTTATTCCTCAGTGAGTAAGGCCTTTAGAGTCCTAAACAAACGAACAATGGTGATAAAGGAATCCATTCATGTCAAATTCGATGAACAATCTGAGCAAAGTCCAGTTGGCATTGAACCATCAAGAAATCCAAGTCAAAGCTCTTGTCAACCAAATGAAGAAGAAGTCTCAGACGAAGAAGATATCCTAACTTCCTACACGAAATATCAGTTGAAGATCTCAGAACCCGAAACTACAACTCAAGAAAATGTTGATGTACAACAAAATGCTCCTGATGTTCATGCATCATCCGAGCCTATGATCTATGTTGAGTTGCCTTATATTCCTGAAATGGATGTTCAAAATCAGCAAAATGCGTTTGAACCCGACCTTAGATGGTTAAGAGATCATCCTCCGGATCAAGTAATTGGAAATGTTCAAGAAGGTGTAAGAATAAGAGCTTCCCTGCACGAAAATATGATGGCATGCTTCTTGTCACAAATGGAACCAAAATCCATAGAAGAAGCCTTAAGTGATCCTGACTGGGTGACAGCCATGCAAGAAGAGCTTCATCAATTTGAACGAAATGATGTGTGGGAACTTGTTTCGAGACCAACACATCAGAATGTTATTGGAACTAAATGGGTCTTTAGAAACAAAATGAGTGTAGATGGACTCATTGTTAGGAACAAAGCTTGTCTTATTGCAAAAGGCTACTGTCAAGAAGAAGGAATCGATTTTGATGAAACCTTCGCCCCCGTGGCTAGACTTGAGGCTATACAAATATTTCTAGCCTTTGCAGCTTACAAAAACTTCAAAGTCTATCAAATGGATGTCAAAAATGCATTCTTAAATGGGCTTCTTGAAGAAGAAGTATATGTTGAGCAACCGCCTGGTTTCACGGTTGATGATGGACAAGAAAAAGTCTACCATCTCAAAAAGGCTCTTTATGGATTAAAACAAGTTCCACGAGCTTGGTATGATACGCTCTCACACTTTCTTATCAATTGTGGTTTCACGAAAGGAGCTGTAGACAAGACGCTCTTTCGTATAAAAGATGATGATCATATTCTTTTAGTGCAAATTTACATTGATGACATCATCTTCTGGAGCACGAATCCTAGCCTATGTGAACAGTTCTCAAACCTTATGCAAGGCAAATTTGAAATGAGCATGATGGGAGAACTAAACTATTTTCTAGGATTACAAGTAAAGTAATGCTCAGATGGAATTTTCATTAATCAAGCCAAATATACCAAGGATCTAATCCGAAAGTTTGGTATTGATGGAAAAACTTCCGTCAAAATCCCTATGAGCACATCCCTTAGAATGGATATTGACAACGAAGGAAAGGATGTGGATCAGAAAAACTTTTGTGGTATTATCGGGTCTCTTCTATATCTAACAGCAAGCAGACCTGACATTTCGTTTGCGGTTGGAGTATGTGCAAGATTTCAAGCTAAGCCGAAAGAAAGTCACTTGAGTGAAACCAAAAAGATCTTGAGATACCTTAAAGGGACGCAAAGTGTTGGACTTTGGTACCCGAAAGAAGGATCTTTTGATCTCGTTGGCTATTCAGATGCCGATTTTGCTGGATGCCGAATTGATCGAAAAAGTACCTCAGGAACCTGCCAGTTCCTAGGGGGAAGACTTGTGTCATGGTTCAGCAAAAAGCAACATTCTATTGCTACTAGTACGGCTGAAGCCGAATACATAGCAGCTGGAAGTTGTTGTGCTCAAATTCTTTGGATGACACATCAGTTGAAGGATTATGGCATAAATGCACGAGAAGTGAGCGTCAAATGTGATAACACGAGTGCAATTGCTATCACACATAATCCTGTTCTACATTCACGAACTAAGCATATTGATATTAAATATCAATTCATTCGTGATCATGTTGAGAGAAAAGATATATCTCTTGAATATGTCAATACTGATGACCAACTTGCGGATATACTCACAAAACCCTTAAGTGAGGCAAGGTTCTCTACTCTAAGACATGAAATAGGGATGATTGAGATGGCATAAAGTTTTGAGAATCAAATCTGCAAAGATTCTCATAATATTCTCACAAAATCTCCTCGATACTCTAACCAAAAAGATTTGGTTCTTTATCACACGCAAGATCCCTATAAAAGGGGGGTACATATTGTCATCAGATCCTCACTAATCCAGTTGTAAACGAGAAATCTAGGTTTTTGTCTTTGATTGTGCAGGAATGAGTACAGGAAGTGAAGCAAAGACAATGATCACCAAAAAGAAAAAGGAAGAAACCGAAATCTTCCATGACCCACTAGAAGATGAGGGGGCACTTAAAAAATTCCTTGCACGCTCTCAACACATACAAAGCCTCCTTCGTGAACCAACGGAGCATGAGTCAAGAGAATCATTTCACTCTGTTGGCAACACCATAGGGTATGCAAAGGAGGATAGTGTGTTGGAAAGGAGTGACAGCTTTGATTATTCACCATCAAGCACTCCTCCAAAAATGCCCTCTCCACTCAAATCCACAACTAGCAGCAAGAAGAAAAAAACCTAAAAAATTCCCTTGGGTCACAATGATAAGCTGTGATTTCGTTAACTTTGAATAAATTTCGTACTTTTATAAACTGTTTTAATTTCTCGTCTCTCACGAATCTTCTGATGACTTCTCTAACACGAAATCAGGCATCAGTATCCAAAATCTTATGACCAGATCTGCAAGCAACCCTTGTGCCTATAAATTAGAACCTTACTTCATAAATCCTACTCACACACTCAGTTCTTCAGTAAGAAAATCTTGCAGGAATGAATAAGGGCAAAGGGAAAATTGATGAGGCCGAAAGAAGAGCCATTCGGCGTGATCATCATCTTCAGGAAGCTAGCGGTCTACCAAATGCCACTATCATCAAGCTGGAGGAAGACGGTGATAGGGTTAATGTGACATACTCCATGCCGAACTCGGCTACCCTTAAAGAGAAGGAGACATTGGACAACATTGTCAACGAGTCTCGGGCAAAGAAAGCTTATCACCTGGAACAAGCCAAACGACTTGCCAACGAAAGGATAATGGTGTTGAAAAGCGCTAACAAGCACTCATCCAATCCACCCACCTTTCGTTGGTATCCCATTCCTGAAGTTCCACAACAAAGTGAGGAATCTTATGAAGACTTCACTTTGGTGCACTCTCAGTCACCTACTCAATCAACCATGCCCACCCTCTCTCTAGAGGAACTGGACGAATATGCACACAAGGCAAACTTGCCTGATGTGACTGATGAGTTGACCCGTCTGGAACTTCACGTGCCATATCGTTTCCTCTGAATGTTGCTTGTTGTATCTATGTGGCTTGGAGAACTTTTACTCATTCTCGTTCAATAAAAATCTCTACTTTTGTCGTTACTAATTACTCTTTTGACTGTGTGCTTATAATTGTCAGAACAATTCCTTTCCGGTCAAAGATGAAATTATCACACATGCATTATGTGTTAAAAGTTTCAAACAAGATAATGAATGGATGGATCGTATCAGATCTCGCATATCAAACATTCAATGCTGATTGGTTCCACGGAAATCATAGGATTTTCTAATGGATAACACTTGGACGCAACCAATGGGCAAAGACCAATCATCATCCTATGTTGTTATAAAGGAGAACATTGGTTCAAAACTAATTGCATCTCTAGCAATGGCTCCTAAAGTTTCAATCACTAAGGTTATTTCAAGGAGATCCAAAGCTCGTCCTAAGGAAATCAAGCAAGATGATCCTCTGGATATCTCATCCGATTCAGAGAGTGAAGATTTTGATGAACTCATCAAAATGAGGGCGGATGAGGATGCCAATTCATTTGATCCTAACGAGGAACCCCCTCTGATTGTCAAAAAGGGTTTCCTATCTCTAGATACCTAGAACAACACCGCTATGGACAATGACCTTCGAAATTTCTATCGAACTTACGACTGCAAGACTGAGATCGTGGATTACACCGAAGGTGAATCTGATGAGGAGAAGCATCTTGCTGGTGAACAATCTTGTCCCAAGAAAATCTCTAAGGATTCTAAGGGCGAAACTAGCACGAAAAGGAAGGGAAAGGCAAAGAAGTGATAATCTTTGTTCAAAATTATCTTTTATTCAGCATTCCTGTTTCTCTTTGTCTCGTGAAAATCATCAATAAATGCTTTCTGGCACATACTTGTACATCTTGGAATCATATTACTGTTCTTGAAATCATAAGTTTCTTTACTATAATCAGTCCAAGTCTTCTACGGTATTAATTATCCGTTGAAGAAATATATGGCCATTAATTGCAGCATTGAATGCTGAGTGCAAGTATCACATCAATATCTTCCCCTCACGCCTATAAAAGGAGAAAGAATCCTCATTTATTCTACCATCACTCTTTCCATCATGTATCCCAAAAAGCCCTTCACCAGAGGTGATTCTAAAAAATTGAGAGACACTGCCAGGCAAATCCGAGAAGAACAGGGAGACCTCTACCCCGGCAACAGTCTCCAAGCACCTCTGGAAGTCTCATCTGATGTTGAATCCTCTCCCCAATATGATGAAATGGCTACCTATATTGTTGAGGAACCGGAAGAAGAAAACCCTCCAAAAGAAGAGGTCCCTCCACAAGAGGAAACACCCGATGATCTGCCCAGCAAGTACTATGACCAAGACTACATGGATTATCTGAAAGAAGAGCTCAAATCTGAGCTGGACACTAACGTCGAAGAACCCGCTTCATCCTCGGACTCCAACTTTCTACGTACCGGGAAATGGTACAAACAAATGTGGGCAGATCTCAAAAAGCCGAAAGCTGAGCCTCGAGAGGACAAGGGAAACGAGAGAAAGAAGAATTAATCTTTTAGATTATGTATCTCATTTTTTTTGCCTCTCTCGTTTGAACCTATAATAATAAATTCTCAGTTTTAATAATCTCAGTTCGGGTTTGATTAAGAGCCGAACGAAACTTTAGTTGTTTCGTTCACATTTACCCAAGAATATCTCTGACCGAACATATCTCTCTTGGAAATGCATATATTCCCTCAAGCGTGCTCTCCGTATCTATGGCTAGTCATTTGGGTCACAACTTTTGATACAATCTTATACTCTATATAAAGGGCTGTCTTGAGAAACATGGCTTTACTCTTCTCAACTTATATCATCATGGACAAGGGAAAAGAAATGGCTCTCACAACCGAGAGTTTGTCTGGGAAAGATAGATCTAAAAATGATCCTCGTTATGAACCCGATAGCTCGCTACTGGAAGGATCATCCTCAACTGATGGATCCACCAAAGCCTCTAGTCTCTCTGGTTTTCTCTCTCTTGTAAAGCTTGCGCCTCAACTCAGAACTGAAGAAAAATACATGGCTATTTAGGCTGCTGCTAAAACTCGGGTTAAGGCTGAACTGGATGACATGGAAAGGCGAGGTCTTTCATGAGACGCCATGGGAACAGACCACGAGACAATAGTGGGAGAAGTGTTTGCTTTTGAGGTTCGCAAGAAAGAATACCTCGAAAATGCCCGAAAGGAGAATAATGCCAAGGAATAAGATCTCGGGCTAATTAAATCATGAGAGATGTAGTGACAGTTCTTACAATCTATGTCTCGTGTAATAAGACATCTCTCGGGCTATGTATTCTCGTTGTATGTGCTGTATAGGTTTGTTAGACTTTGTTTGTCCTACAAACCTTTTGTTAAGTGAAATTTTTAATGTTTCGGTTTTCAGACGTGTTCAAGAAGTCTCTTATTTAACGGATCATCTGAACCGTTAATATGTTTTCATAATGGGGATCGTGTGGCCGAGAAAAGTGGTCCACTACCCCACGATCTCTGACAGTTGAGTTGATACGCATTTAATGCTACACAGGCACTTGAGTGGTTTTCTCTCTCCATTTTTAATACGGAATGATCAAAACTGATCTAAGCATGATCTTATCACACTCCAATAACAAGATCAGTTACCTTTTTGAAGAATTGGAACCGGTTGAAAGTTTGAAATTCAAACTACCCACCACTCATATGGGTCACCCGTATTTGAAAACCCAAGAACCAAGAAAACCCTTCAAAAACCCTCTCCCTATCATACTTCATCTTTGTCATTCACCCTCCGTCCCAAAACTGCCCTCTCATACCTATTCTCTCAAAACCTCTCACAATGGCGAAGAAAACCAAAGCTACCCCCTCCGATGCAGAACCAGAACCCTCAACCACAATGGAAATACCTACCTTCCCCACAGAAGACGTAAACTTCATCGAATCCCGGACTCCTTTTGTCGCCAGTGGAAACATGTGGGAAGAACATGGCTTTTTAGAATACGTCCTTGATCGAGATTTTGGAGAAAGGATCATAACTCTGCTCACGGAAACTGGCTTATACAGGTTTATCACTCACTTATATACACTCTGGTACCCTACTGATGTTGTACAATTTTATATGAATGCAACTGTTTCTTCGGATACACTAACCATCACCTCCAGAGTCAACAATCACGAAGTGATTATCACATTGGAGGACATTAGAGCCGCATATGAGTTTCCTCAGAGGGATGAGACGTACAAGCCCAACTTTTCTTTCTACCATTATGACCAGAGTGAGTTTTATGAAGCTATCAAGAATGACCATGCACCTTCGAAGATAGAGATAACGTAGCCCCTGAAGAAAAAGTGGTTTCGTTTGAACCATGAGTTCACTGTTGACATCTTCAACAAGATAGTTGATCACAAAACATCCGGTACAGATGATGTCACAAAAGAGTAGCTCAAGATGCTGCACGCGTTTCTTAAGGAACATAAGGTTGACTGGTCGAAAGTGATTTTCAACAACCTTGTACATGTCATCACTTTCAACAGAGCGTGTCCTGGTGATATTGCGAAGAAGATGGGCTATGGATTTCTGGTAAGTCATCTTCTTACCACAAAGAATATTCTTATGAGGCCAGGGATTCGGCCAGGACCGAAGGCATGTCATATGAAGCAAAAGCCCACGGGCTACGATAAACAAAGAGCCTTGGAGTTGGGAATTCCTTTGGAGATGGTTAAATCGAACGAAAATCAAGAACGCCGAAAGAATTAGAAGATGACCAACCAGAGCCGAAACGGCAGAAGAAAGGGAAAAGCTCGTCTCGGGCTAAGACGAAAAAGGACGTTGGCAAGACACCCATTCCCACATCTCCAAGGACTCCAGCAGAAAAGACAACTCCACCTATTCCCACTCCAGAACCCGTTGTTGTGGAAGATTCATCGGATGAAGATAATTTGGTGCTGTCCACTCTCGGGAAGACAGGACGATTTCGTTCTCCTGTCAAGACGAAAACTGGCCAAACTCTCTCCCCGAAGGCAGATGATAACCCGAGAGAAGCAATCTCTCAGGGGGAAGAAAACACGAAAGAAATATCTTCTCAGGGGGAAGATCAGCCGAAAGAATCCTCCCAAGAAAAATTTTCTGAACGACAAATGGTCGATTTTGACCAAAGTTCTCCTCAAGACCTCCAACCACAAGAACCCATTTCAGCAGAGCGAAATCTTCCATGTTCGACACAAGAACCTGCTGCTATGGATATGGAGGCCGGTCACTTAAGTCTTCCACAAAAACCTGGCTCGCCAGCAAAGACGAAAGAAGTGACTGCTGAATTGAATGAAGTTCCATCTTTCCCACAAAAACCTACCCCTGCAGAGCAGGTAACGAATGCTCTGACACAAGAACCTGCATTGGTAGAAGAGAATGCAAATGTGATAGTTGAGACTCCTGTTGTCCCGAAAGCACCAGCACCTGTCCCCGAAGCTACACCAAGACCTCCAACGAGAGATCAAGTGCTTCGTGAATCAATTGAGAATGACTACAAGAGGGTGCTGCAATGGCAAAAATGGCGCACAGCCCCTTTGGAAACTTTCATCGAGACCTTTGAAGCTATGAAGGATGAGGTGAAGTTCGCATTAGAGTGGATTGGCACAAAGGATGTCTATGAAGCACTATGTCTTAAAACAATAAGACGAGTATACTCGTATAAAGTGACCAATCACACCCTTGGGAAAGATAAGGCCCCAGTCTGTATTGAGCTGAACAAACCACCCTTGGATCCACCATTTGTTGAGGAAATGAAGGTGGTTCGATATGCCATGTTGATCTCTAAAGTCAAAACCATCTTGGAAAAATAACACCAAAATGATCCTAACTGTAATATCAGTGGCTCGAAGGATGAGTACGGTCGAGAAATTGACACGGCCATTGAGGACGAAAAGACTGATAGCGACAAAAGTGAAAACGATGACGAAGATGAAGATGAAGAAGACAATGTTGAGGATGCAGATGATGAAAATGATGATGATGACGACGATGATGATTCGGGAAATGATAACAATAACAGGGCTGACCCGGACTATGACAGTTTATCCCCTCTCTTGGTAGGTCCGGACTGCAATGAAGTGATCCCCGAAAGATCTCCATCTCACGCATCATCCTCCAAAAGTGATGACAAAAGGGAAGCATCACTCCAACCTGAAGACGTTTCAAATGATCATCTTGAGGATCTGTCTCGTGCTATCGTCCCACATCTTCAACCTATGGACGAAACTCCTATCAAACGAGAAGAAGCAACTGTTCGTGAGGGCAAACTGGATGCATCACCAATCTTCATTAGCTCAGCTAGTGGTGGCAAAATGGATGCACCACCTCAAGGAGAACAGATGGATACCTCACCAACGAATATTGAAGACGAATCTCCACCGTTGTCCCCACGAAACATCATGAACCTCATGAGAGACACGGTTCATGCTGCTGAAGTCACTCATCAACAATATTTAAACCTTCGGTAAAGGGACACCAAAATAATGGAGGACTTATCCAAGAAGGTGGATCAACTGATGGCTGCTCAAGCTCAGTCTCGTCCGCCACCACAAGAGCAACCTCAACCTCCACCGCAAGCTCAACCTGACCAGCAATTCAATGAGAAATTGGCAAAGAAACTTCATGAACTTCATACCTCTGTCAACAAAGTGGCACGACAACAGCACGAACTCAAGCACTCGCACTTCAGCCTCAAAGAGCGCGTTTACTTAGCCTGCTCAAAAATGGAAACTGCACATGACAATACATACCAAATGGCCAAGTACGTGCTTCAAATTCTCGGGTATGTACAAGATACTCTGACTGCAGTCAATAAGCTGTCCACTCCACCTCTTACTGCTTGTGCTGATGATGCCAAAAAGGGGGAAAAGAGGAACCATGATGACAAGGATGATGATCATCTTAGGGATAATCATCCTAGGGACAATACGAAAGATCGCTCCCCACCTCATGCACCAAAAGACTCTGAACAAAGAAGCACGAAGCCGTCACATCCACCATCCAGGTCTCGTGGCCACCACCCTTCACAATCGAGGCATCACTCGAATCGTGGTCACAAATCTTCTCAACCCAGATCATACCCTATCAAACCTCGCCAATCCTATGGCTCTGAATCAAAGTTCGTATTCAGTGGGCTCTCCAAGAGAGAAAAGACGAACCTAAGGCAAAAGCTCATGAAGAAGAAAAAGACAACAATGGATGGCGTAGGAAACTTTGTGGAATTTAGACCTTATGAAGAAGGTAGTGGAAAACGTTTTGAGGGTTGCAATGTTCCTGTCTGGCTGACGACATAGGACAATCACACAAGGCAACATCACATAAGCACCCAAAACGAAAGAATCAAGAAACAGAATAGAGAGCTGTGGGAGAAACATGAAGAAGAAGCCCGAAAAGAGAGCATGAACTACATGAAAGAGAGAAGGTAAAGGAGCTGATAAAGGATCTCACGAAAGTGACGAAAAACTCTGAGCATGGAGTTATCTACAATGCAGCTTTCAAAGTGCATGCCGAATCTGGAAAGAGCTACAAAGAAGGAAGGAACTCTTTTGAACTCATCTCGTGGTGGAAGTGGGGAATTATTGAAGGCGAAAACATTCGTGAACCCTACAACAATTATATCAGTCTCAACATCAAGGGAAAACACGAAGATATAGTGAAGACGAATCCAATCAGGATCTTAAGAGAACGAATAAATGAAGAAATTGACACAGACAGGATGCTCAAGGAGCAGAAGGAAAGAGACATTCGTGAACGTGAAGAAGCCAAGCTACAGAAGTCGAAACTTCTAGATTTGTAAGATGCTTTACTTTTATGTCTCTCTTTAAACTTTTTGTAAGGTTCTCTATCTATATATGAAGTTCTCGTTGTTACACATCTCGTGTTACTTATCTGGGTTACTTGTCAATGTTTTATTAGTTATTTGTACTTATCTAGAAATGACTTGTAAACTCTCGAAAAAGGCTATTTTGTAATAGAAAATCCTTTAGAGGACGTTTGTCAGCCTTATGAGAAGAGTATAGGTTTTGGCATCATCAAAAAGGGGGAAATTGTTAGGAACACTTGTATTAGGATTTTGATGATACCAATGTAACCTAGAATGCAGACCCCTAACCTTTGTTATTTTTAATCGCCGCTTTCGTCCTAGACGAGAGTTGCCATAACTCACATGTAATTCGTGTTAAGCAAGTCAAACACACGAAGATGAGTTATGATTAAATGTTAGGGTGATCAAGACGAAAGAAGACACGAAGCATGAAGCATCTACAACGAAAGATTACCAGGAGTTGTCATCTACCTCGAAAGGACAGTCTTATTTATGACAATCCTTCAAGACATTCTCCTTCTTCAATAGCAAGAAGAATGTCTCCACTGCCTGACTTGACAACATCCCAGGAACAAAAGGACCTCAATATGTGGGACACGCATTCCAAGGAGCATTAAATGAAGATGTACTATTTCCTGAAGCTAAAGGACAAAAGTCTAAGGCTATCCATGCCATCAACGGCTACAAGGTACAAACCTCATTAATGGAGCATTTAATGCGGGAAGCTCCCCGGTCCTTACCCACTGGACAATAGGTTTAAAAATTCATCTCTCTCCAACGAATGAAATTTTCCTCACCTATATAAACCCACCTTCATCAAATAAGAAGGTGTTGGTTCTTTTCACTCGATCTAAACTATCAAGCAAAAGCTCTTAAACATTCTAAGTCCTCATCAAGCTTTTGTGAACCAGTGTTAAGGTGTGAAGATACTTGAAGAAGTTCATTGATCCTCATCTTACACCTTGAAGAAGTCTTGCAACTTGTTCGAAGCAACCATCTTTCATCAGTCAAGACTTCACCACGTTGGAGAAATCAAAAATCATTTTCTACCAACCTCAACTCTGAAGAAGACGTTGATAGAGGCGGAGTAAACTCATGGAGTTGAAAAACCTACGAAAGCTGTCCGGCTTAGTGATCAAGGAAGCTTTCGTATATTTGTACTAACGAGTTATAGTGCAAACCTTCCATAAGTTGTGGAAGAAGAGTTGAGTAGACAAAGTTGGCCGAACCACTATAAAAGCTCTCGTCACCTTTTCTCTTTACTTACTTTATTTACTTTCTGCATCATATTATTTTTCGCGCCTAAACCGAAAGTTTCCTTAATAACGACAAACCGTGCAAAGCAAGTAAAACGAATTCAACATTTCCGCTGTGCCATAACACCGAAAGGTTGTTATTTGGCAAAATCCGAAAAGAGTCTATTCACCCCCCCCCCCTCTAGACTGTCGTTATAACTCTACCGCGACCAACACATGTATATATACATACATGTATATATATATATATATATACATATATATATATATATATATATATATATACATATATATATATATATATATATATACATATATATATATATATATATATATATATATATATATATATATATATATATACATATACATATATACATATATATATATATATATATACATATACACATATACATATATATATATATACATATATATATATATATATATATATATATATATATATATATATATATATATATATATATATATATATATATATATATATATATATATATACATACATATATATTTCTTAGATTGCACCCGGGTTGGACTCCCTTATGGGAGATTGTGTGTTCGAGCCTCAATGGAGGCGTTATTGGCTCTCTTTGCTTCAGTAGGTTGAGAAAGTAGCTATGAACCGTTACTACATTGTAATAGAGTCAGTAACATTCAATATATATATATATATATATATATATATATATATATATATATATATATATAGTGGCATGATAACTCTTTATATTCAATATTACATACCTTATAACAAATGATAAAAGCATTGAGTTGTACTTGGTACAATACCAGGAATAAACATAAGATCTAAACTATTCAATGCATTGAATTAAGTCTTTATATTCAATATTACATACCCTATAACAAATGATAAAAGCATTGAGTTGTACTTGGAATAAACATAAGATCTAAATTATTCAATGCATTGAATTATACATCAAGGTTGTAATTAGATAAACGTTATTCGAGTCTTATATGAAATTTGGGGCTCTGTTTTGAGTCTTGTTTTGAGTCTTATTCGGTAATGTTCCCAAGATATTCTAGTAGCTTAAACTAAGAGCTTATTTTTAAGAGGTAATCATTTCAAAAATAAGCTAGTAGCTTTAACTTTTTTTTTTTCAATCTTTATCTTTATTATTTTAAATAAATGGTAGTCTTTACCCCCCCCCCCCCAATTAAAATTCTTTTGACCTTTTCTTTTCTC